TTAGTAATGAAACTGTATTTTTCTTTGAAAGACAGCTTTTGTTTGATTTCTCAGCAAACCAGACTTCACATAATAATGAGCTATAACATGCTGAGAGAGCGAAAGATCATTCACCAAAATAACTCTGTAGAATTCATATGATAAGAAAAAGTCCAGTTTAATCCCTTAAGAAATGTCTTCATGTATTTCAGGAGCTGATGCATTGGTCAATTCTTAATCACCTCTGCAGAAAACAGAAGGCTCAACTTGTAGATTCATGAGAAGGCTACTTTAATGATTTGAGTCATTGTTATAGAAATAACTCCACAGGAAAAACATCATAGTGATGTCATTTAATGTTTGAGACAATTTTAACTTTTCTAAGAACCATTTTCTTAAATTCCCTTAAATACTGTCACTTCCTTTTTTCAAACCTCTGTATGCAATTGTTCTTATATCTTATAAAGCGCAGATTAATTTTAAATACCTTCAAACCTAGGGGAAGTGAAAAAAGTTCCTAGTAAGGCAAGAGTAAATAAACATGTTGTTGGTGAGTCATATTCTAAAAACAAACAAACCAAAAGTCACTTCTGAGGTTCTTTATTGTTAGTAAAAGGAAAGTTAATCACAAAATCACCACTGAAAATGATCTATAATAACATTAGCCTAAACCACATATAACAAGTTAAACATTCTAAGTCAAAACAATTGCATTATAATGAACTTTAATGAGTTTCTTAGATCAGTGATTCCCAAAACGTAGGCCATGTCTCACAGGAGTATCATGAATGTAATGCTCGTGAAAGCGAAAGGTCCTTTAAGGAAGTGTTTGCTCACAGGGGGTCGTTTGATGGTTGGGGTTTTCTCTGTACCACCTTAAAATATAAAGAGTTTCCGGGTGACTGCTGTTGTGATTTGGGGCTTTATAAATGAATTTCAATTGAATTTATTAACAATAAATATACACTAATAATCACGTGATTATGTCCACATTGCTAGGCTGGGCCCCATTTTACCTTAACTGTAATAATTTCAGTCCATATTGACGTGATAGCATCACACATTGCTGCAGATTTGTTGGCTTAACATCAACAATGCGACTCTGATTCCAAAACAAAAGTTGCTTTACTTCCTAATTAAGCTTTAAATTCAAAGTTGCATTTTCCTTGCACCGCTCCATCAAAGCTTGCTTTGTAAAAACACATGCTACCAATGATGCCTGAAGCAGTAACTGCTTCGGCCCTCTGTTTGAATCGCATGACTGGTCCAAATTAATGGAACTGCTAAGCAACACAAAATGCTTCGTAATAGCTCATCAGTGCTGGAGAAAGAAAAACTGCAGAAAAGATGTTGTTTCTCAATTACAGTCTTTGAATTCCCATACCATGTACATAACTACACCCTGTCCTAGTTATACAAGCACAGCTTACCATCGCATCGCATCCCCTGTTTCTCCAAGCACATCGTCTTCCAGCTACTAAGTTACATAAGTTTACAGAATCAATTGGCTAGTCAATCCATCTTTACAAAATTTTATTTACATCATTCACACAAACCTTAGTTACACTCAGCACATGATTACTGAGATGTTGTTTTGGTGTCTCCTGTTTCGCCACTGTCACTTAAACAAAGCTTTGAATGAATGAACCCACTTTCAAAACAACTTATGAAGTGGTTCAATACTGATTGATTGCTTTATTTGCACGTCACT